TGTAAATCTTGCATGCCGCTTTATATTAACACTTCCTTTGTTACTCAACACTTCCATTGTTAACATTTCCATTCTTAACACTTCTATTGTTAACACTTCCATTGTTGACACTTCCATTGTTACACATCTTCGAAGTCAACCACTTTCAACCCCATATCTCCCACACCCTTATAGCACAGAATGCAAGAATTAGGTCCCCCGTTTCCAGAATAATTAGAGAATTTTTACATCTAATCAAACAAACTATTTTCAATTTGATCAATTTTCTGGAACGTTTACAATCGTTCTATAATCGAACCAATTTGAATTTGAATACAAATTTGAATTTAAAACTGTTCGAACATTTTTAAAATTGAAATAGAAAATCTTTGAAGTCAACCACTTTAAGCCCCCATATCTCCTGCACCCTTATAGCTATCGAGATGCAACCACCATAGTGCACGAATGGAGACTTGGGGCTACTACCACACACAAACATCATTCATGTGCAATGTGTAGTTTTGGCTGAAAAGTGAAATATAGGGACACACATGCCCATTTATATATATATATATATATATATTTATTTATATTTATAAATAATATGTAGTCCAAAAAGTAAACCAATGTGCCAACTGATATTTTTTACATCAAACTAATGAAAGGTAGCCAAATTTGGCACAAAATAGCCAAATCTTGCAATGCTGGAAGAAATACTAAATAAAGCTTGAGTTGAGACTCAAAAAATTGTAGACCCAAATAAGGAGAAAGGATAAAAGATAAAAAAGTGAAAAAGGTTGGAAAATTATGGACCCATATTTGCATAACAGAAGGTCTATTTAACATTTCTCATTACTTTTTATCTTTAGGTCTTTCTCTCCTTTCCCCTCATTTGGGTCTCCTTTGAGAGCCAACTCCAGCTTTATTTAGTATGCCTTCCTCATTCACACATTTCTATTTGAAAATATTTCTTTTCCACTCAAAAATAAAATATGTATAAAGGTTTACGGCTTTGTGAAACTTCTTTGAGTTTATACCATTTAAATAAATAAATAAATAAATAAATAAAATTGTCAGTTTTGTGTACACGTTTATTGGGCCACATTCGAACTTGCCTTGGGTCGCGGGTTGGACACCCCTGGGTTCAAGAATCAAATTACAGGCATACCTCGACTTACGTCGTTTCGAGTTACGTCGTTCCCGATTATACGTCGCTTGTTAAAAAAGTATATGGAAAAATAAAAATCAAGTTTAAGTCATTTTATTCGACTTTATGTCTGTCCGCCACAAATATTGAAGTCGTAATATCACTAGATAAACGTTTAAAGCACATAAAATCATATTAAAATATATACAAGTATGTACTGTATTTACAGTACACGCATTCGAAAATTTAGATTATTTTTTTTGTACTATATTAAAAACTAAAATTTATTTGTTTGTAAGCTTAAAATAGATTTTTATTAACCATATATTATTTAAAATGCTTTCCTAGTGATAAGTAGATTCGGAGACAGGTAAATTCGACTTACGTCGTTTT